TCCTCTTTGAAGCCAACCCCTCGCTGATGACGAGTTTAGGGCTTGGCTTTGTTTTAAACATTGGCACTTCCTTTACTTTATTGGTTTAAAAAACTATTTGAAAATCAATTATAACACATTATTTTAAAATTCAAACAATACTGAAGCTTAAAAAGCAGAAGTGGAAAACGTCTCTTTATTTCATCTGCTGACCCCAGCACTACTCTCCAAATGTAACTACTATGAACTGTTTAGTGAATTTAGTAAGTGTGTCTGTGTGTGTGTGTTTAGGAAGTTTTTCTGACTTCTCAGAGTTCCATAATCTATGTGTCTTTATTCTAAATCACTGTCCATTCCAAATTTTAAGCTGCGAAAGGGTAAGATACATGTACTTTTAAATTAACCTACTTGGCACCTCACCAAAGAAACCCTGATGGGTTTATGGGAGCTCTGGAGTTGGAGAATGGGGTGGAAGGCAGAATCCCTCTGGAGAGACTCGGAGGTCACCAAGGGGAGAGCACGCTGACCATAAGCTCATGAGCAACTGGCCTGACCTGTGGGGTGTGCACACACTCTGGGGCTGTGAAATCACTCATGTGTGAGTTGTCCGGTGGGGAGGGGAGAGCAGGGGACGGGAGGCAGGAGGGCGGAATGTGGGCTGGGCCAAGTTTAGAATTACAAGTGCCACAGAGGAGTTGGAACCACACTTTAAATAGCCAGCACCTTCCCTTTCCCCCTTAGATGATTCTTCTCCTCCCGGCTGGACCTCTGGCAGCAACTGCACTAAGGTTGGTGACATTTTTTTCCTCTTCTTTTTCTGTTTCTGGGTCTCAGACTACAGGGTGATGGGATCCATAGGACTTGCCACCAATGGATTTTTTGATCCTCTCCTTGAAACTATGTTTCTGACATTTATGTGTGATATGCAAAGACTGTATGCTATTTTCTTTACTTTCTGAAACTTCAGTGGCTGTTGACTTAAGGGATAATGATTTAGAGAGAGAAAACCCTAGGTTGAGAAGAAAGACATTTGGGTTTAATTCTAAGAAAATGAAGGCTTTCTTCTTTGTGAAATGAGACAAGATCAAAAGAAAATTAAAAATTTGAGTGCCTGTTACTCTAAGTGTGTGTGTGTATATATATATATACACTTATACATATATCCATATATATACACACACATATATATATATGTATATATATCCTTATTCAAACCTTATAGCTAAGTATATTCTGTAATTCTTACTTTTGCAGGTAAGCAAACGAAGGCTCAGAGTAATTAATTAACTTTCCTGAAGTCAGGCAGTGAGTGGTATTGTACAAAACAAAAATTTGAATCCAGGCTTGTGTGAATCTTGTGTTCTTTCAATGCGGAATGCTACCTCAGGGAAGCAGTACCCTAATGAGGCCAAGGGACCCAGGATAGGGCTACTGTTTCTTTTGGGGTCTGGGAGGATAAAGAAGTGAAGGGAGATGGTGTTCCACATTGGAAGACATCCATCTGATGGTAAAGGGAGGCCCAGAACCAGCACAAGACTGAGGAAACTTCTTGAAACCAGCTGCTTGGGTTTCTCCTCAGGCCACAAACAATCTTTGGAGCCCATTCCCTAATGTATCAAATAAGCAAAGGTGCCTACTGTTCTCTGACTTTCTGGATCCCTTGGGTGGCTCAGCTAGGGAGGCAGAGCCACAGGAGAGTCTGTGCCCAGATGGGGCTCCCAATGACAAAGTCCTGTTACCATGAAATTTTCTTGAGGTGCAGAAAAAAGTCCCTGTGCCCACTTCTCCAGAAAAAAGGCCACTGAATAAAATCAGGGGACAGTCATTAGAAGATGCTTATATTAGACAGGCTGATACACCTAGACAGCCAACGTAATCAAGGAATGTAACTGAAAGAGCAGGGGCAGAGTGAGTTCAAGTCCTAGCTGGGCAATTTACTAGCTAGATGGCAGCAGACATGTTATTTAACCTCTCGGAGCATCAGCCTCCTCATTTACAAGGCAGAGGTAACCTTGCTTACATCTCAGGGTTGTTGTGTGGATTAAATGAAATCAATGTATGTAAAGTGCTTAGTCTGTAGTAGTTGCTTGCTAAATGTGAGCCATATCCAATCTTATCCTCAATCCCAATAAGCATCTAGAATAGGGCAATGACAGGTTTAGAATTGTTCCTCTTTATTCATTTTATGTTGTCTTCTCCACTGTAACAGTTTCCTACACTTGTTATCACCAAAGAAGAACAGAGCCCATAGTTCATCTTTCTCTTATGTCGATTTCAGAGAGAGATGGAAGGAGTAGCTAGAAAGATCAGCTCATCTTATTCAGAGTTCCTGATCCCACTCAACCTCTCTCATTGCTTTGGGAGAATTTTTTTTGATTGGCTTTTATTTCCATATTACAAAATAAAACATGTTCCTTGATAAACATTTTAAAAATATAGATAAGAAAAATATTCCTATAATCCAATCACTGTGAGAAAAACATTTTGGTGAACATCCTAGTCTTTCAATGCATTTATATATAAAATATTTTTCAAGAATGATCATATTGTATGTCCTATTTTATAACTTTTCACTTTACATATTAATGAACAGTTTTTCATTTCATTACACTTTCTTCTGCAACACAATTTTTTTTTTACTTGGGGAACGTATTTCCAGGACCCATCAGCTCCAAGTCGAGTAGTTGTTTTCAATGTAGTTGTGGAGGTTGCAGCTCAGCAACCCATGTGGGGATCAAACCAGCAACTTTGGTGTTGTGAGCACTGCGCTCTAACCAACTGAGCTAACCGGCCACCCCTGCAACACAATTTTTAATTACTACATAGTAGTCCATTATCTGTGTCTGCCATGGTTTACTAATCTATTTACTATTTTTGAATATTTATGTACTTTCTGATTTTTTGCTGTTATAAACAATGAACATCTTCAAGGCCAAATCTTTACCCACAGTCACAATTATTTCCTTAGAGTAAATTCCTGCAGTGGAAATTGGCGGCTTTGAGGATATGCAAAAATCCCATACCTTCAACAGTCAGAATACCAGTAGAGAAACTGAAGTTCATGCTAACACAGACAAGGCTAGTTGTAGAGAGGCAGGAAAAACCTAGACAACCCAGGGCCCGTGTGAATTCTTCCATGTCCACAAACCCCAACCCAAGACACCTGTGTAGTGGAAGCAACATGTATATTTCAGTATCAATCTTTCTTTCTGAAACAGGAAAGGAATATATATTTTCAGCAGCTGTCACCCAGCATTTACCAATAAGAGATGCTAAGGAGGACATGGGTCTACGGACAAGGGTGTAGGAATTCACACTCTTCCAGTGCATTATTCCCTTGGGAATTTGCTGGTGAAGGTTGGGGAGGGGCTTTCCTTCCAGCGTTCCCAACAGGAACAGTGTGCCCTGCTTGTTTTACAGGTGGGATGGACAGCCGGGTCTCGGGTGCAACCAGTAATGGAGAGACAAAACCAGTGTACACAGTCGTGGAAAAGGCGGGGGAAGATGGTACCCTGGAACGGGGGCACTGGAACAACAAGATGGAGTTTGTGTTGTCCGTGGCAGGAGAGATCATTGGCCTAGGCAACGTCTGGAGGTTTCCCTATCTCTGCTACAAAAACGGGGGAGGTGAGAGCTACTGCACCACCCTACCAACCCCTGGAAGGAGGAGATTTCCATCTCCTGCACTTACTGCCCCTCTGGGGAGTCCTATAGACATATAGAATGCTGGAGTTGGAAAGACCCTTCTTTAGAAGTCATTAATGACACCGCAGGAGACTGAGACCTAGACAGATCACATGACTTTCCCAGGGGGTCTTCCTGTTAGAGCATGGGATCATAGACATATGAGTACAGGCCTGGAACCAGGTGGATCAGAGTTTGGATTCTGGCCTGCTACTTATTCTCGGTGTCATCTTGGGTAAGTTGCTTGAGTCCTCAGAGCCTCAACTGCTGCTCCTGTAAACGGAAATAGTAATACCTGCCTTTCAGGGTTGTTGAAAGGATTAGAGACAATATGTGTTGAGTGCTTAATAAATGGTAGCTATGTTGAAGATGATGTTGATACCAGCTGTCCTGTGGTCTTGAGATTCCTTAGCTGTGGCTTTGTGCCTTTCTCCTAGTCTGCTGGCACCATGACATTCCCTAAGTCATTCATTATCAGTATCATAACCTTTGATACCAGTGGCCTGTCCTTTAAACATTTCCTACTGAAAATGTGTGTGTGGGGAGTATTATCTCTAACTCTTTACAGTGGTAGTAATTTTCCTCCACTAACTCACTTTCCAGGAATCCCAGATCACTGTGGGAAGCCCCAGAGGGATTTCTCAGGTGCTGAAGGTTCTGGCTGAGTAGTGTGTTAGGAAGATCTCCTTGTTGATGGTAATGCTTAGAGAGATTGGGCTCCCAGGTAGGCTTTAAATGAGGTTGCAGTCTGGGCTGGAGGAAGTAGAAAGCAGAGGTAGGTCGTGGGGGAAAATGCTGAAGGGGTGGTAATTTCATGGGCCACAAGGATTGGAGGGTACCCTAATGCAACACCTGCCCTTTTGCAGGGAAGTAGGAGCCTCCAAGTGCATCAATCAGGCTTAGTCTCACAATAGTTTTGAAGAGAGAGAAACAACACAGAGTGGAGGTGGGAGGACTGGGGGAGAAAATAGATAGATGCTCTGAGCCCATAGTCTTATTCCTAGGATTGTGGCAATTGGAGATTGGTTCTGGGATTGGCAGTTAACTTGTATTTTTCCAGAGGGGTAGGATGGGCTGATGTGTCCTTTCTCCCCAGGAATTTCTGGCCAGCAGCCTGAAACCACAGGACTTTGCTCAGTCTACATTGTGAAGGAAGGAGGGCGGTCTTCTCACTTCTGACCTAGCCCTGGACACTGCACATGCTTGTTTAGGAATGTAGGCCTGAGCACTCTCCCTTCAGAGAACTGGGTGGAAGGGTGGGGCTGGTTGAGGGAGAGGAGGAGTCTGGGGGCTAAGCTGGGTACTGAGGCTCTGTATCTGGAACGTCGTAACCAGCTTAGCTCTTCACGTGGCAGAAAGCTTAGGTGGTGAGCAGCTTTCCCCAAGCCTCTCTGGAATTGGGTAAAGGTTGGCTTGGGAATTAGCAGGAATGGCACGAACAGGTGGGAGAGAGTGATCTCCAGGTCTAGTGCCAAAGCCCTAGAAGGGGAAGTACAAGGCAGCAGTGACAGGGGCAGGGGAGGGTATGGGGCGCACCTTATTGAGGTGAGGTGGTCTTGCAGAGCTGGGGTCTGAGCTCTACTTTGGGGCTCTGTGGTAAGTTTGTGCAGGTCTGGGAATGTGTGACTGTGTCTTGGGTGGAAATGCAGGCCCAGGAAGAAAAGAGTATCCACAGCCCTTGGTTTGTTTTCCACCTGGGTGCCTGTGGGGGAAGGTGGAGGCAGGAGGGTTGCTGCTGTGGCCGCTCCCTCCCTGGATGGCGCCTGCCTTCCAGCACGCAGACCACGACTGACATTGGAGGCAGTTTTAAGGCTCCTGGGTCCAGTCAAGTTATCTATTTAATCTTTAACTACCATCCATAATCTCTTCCCTTGGTCAAGTGCAGGGCCCTAGGACTCCTCCTCTGCTTCCTCAGTGGACAGCAGCTGGAGGGACGTGTTCTGGGGG